TGAAACTGAATAAGCAGTAAAAGATGTTGTCACTACTTAAACCAATCCATCAAACATACTTTGGAAGCAGTAACGATCGTCCGCTGACTTCTCTGATTAAATTGTTCGACAGATATAAATATCGCAACGACCTCAGTGCATTCAATCTTGGCATAGTAGTTAACAGATTGTTGGACAATATCAATTTATCAATTTTCGAATTTTCAATCCGAAAATCGATGCTTTTAAGCAAATTATTTGACAAATCAAGATGGTGTAGATTTCGAGCCATTTGAAACGCATGTGGTTTAACAGTCACCAAATTACAGTCTTCCAGTACCAACGTTACAACTTCAACACTTTCAAAAGCTTTCAATTCGTCAACATTTGCATGACGTATGTGTAGAGCCATAATTCCAGATGGAATTTCTAGCACTCCAGATGACATAATTAATCTTCCAGAGTCTCCAGCCAGCAAATCGCCGGCGCTACTACTATCACCACCGCCACCACTAGATGTCGTTAATGGTTGCTTTTCGCTATCGCATTGTTTTGCAAATGTGGAATTTCCAGTACATTCGTATACCCGTCGATTGTTCAACCAATAAAGCTGACATTGAAAAAAGCAGCTACCCGAACAGTAATTAGTTGGCAGTATCAGTAATAACAGAAGCTTTATAAACATGTACAAAGCATTGGCAATCTTGTAGCCTCTTCAGACAAGCCAATAACCAGCCCATCAAAACATTACATGATAGCTTTCACTTGTGACACTTCACTTCTTCCATCTGAAATAAAGTTGCAAAAAAATGACAAAAAACAGCAAAGAAAAAAAAATAAATCAGAGGAAGTATTTTTTATTAAAAAATACGTATGACGTCATTATTAAACAGTATCCAACAGTAGTTACAAAAATCGATGTAAAATGTTTTTAAAAAACATAAAATTTTTTAGCAAAATTTAAGTTTTGCTTTTTTTAAGTAGCAATACAAATTAATAATCAACTAAAGATTGTATCGCTTAATTTCCACTACCAATTTTTTTTTCACTGTTTTTTTGCTCGAATATTGCATGTCAGCACACTTCTTAACGATTCCCTTCTCCCGCAACCAACGAAAGCCCAAAAATAAGAAATCAGTAAAGAACGATTTTGTAAATACCACTTAAACAGTATATTATCAAACATTAGCCGTAAAACATCAAAATCTCTAATATTAAATAATCTCTATTCTCTGACAATTAATTATATATTTATTTATTTATTCATACTTTTTTCCGCCTTTCCTTTCTGTTGTTTAAACCTTCGTTGGTTCAATTTTTTTCGGACAAAATTAGATGTTGTGAGAAGCTTTTAAAAGGAGGTGGACTGATGCTTTACCCTCCTCTCTATTCGTCTTTCCCACTCCCTCTCAAGCCGAACAAACTACAATACAAATAAATATTAGTGTGATATTGCAGCTGTCATATAAAACAACAACGATAACAACAAGAATAACAATAACAAAGACGACGATGACGATGATGATGTTGATGATGGTAATAACAAAGATATACTTCAAAAAAAAATTTTTTTTCTTTGTTTGATATACTAAAAATTTTTTTTTTGTTTCCCAAATAATTAGAAAGAAAAATAAATGAAATGCTTAAAAGTCTATTCTTCTAAAAATAGGAAACAGTTTTTTTGCGCAGCTCAAATTTCCAAAAACGATCGCTCCTATTCTGCTAGAAACCTTTCCCATCTTTCCATCTGGTTCTACATGTCCATCTATCCATCTCTCTATCTGTCCATCTGTCCATCTATCTATCTATACATCTATCCGTTTATCTATCTGTCTATCTATCTATCTATCTATCTATCTATC